GCCGTCGGCGGTTCGTCCTGTCCTCCTCTGCCGTGGGTGTCGGTAAACGGGGCAGCGAGGGGCGGCGGCGGCACTCTCGGGCTCGTTTCCGGGCGGGCGGTCGCCTTGCTGCCGAAGTTTCCTTTCGTGTCGGTGACTTGAAAGTTCCTCGTGAACGGTGGGTGCCTTTGAGACGGGCGTTTGGTCTCGGTGGGCGCTGAGGCTGGGTGCGGAGCCCGCAGACTTCCCCAGCCGGTTTCCCCACGTTGACGTGGGTTTAGGGGCTGGTTCAGCAATCACATTTTCTACCTGGGGTTCAGGTTGTGTCCTGACGCTTTAAATCCCCAGCTAAGTTATTTCCTTGAAGTCCATGTGCACGAAGAGAAGGATACAAACAAATAAACAACTTCATAAACTGATATCTCTACTCTTAAATATCTTGCTGATTCTAGTATTTATTATGGACTTTTTCTTCTTGTAACAGAATTATGGATCCAAGCTTACTGAGAGAGCGAGAGCTATTCAAAAAGCGTGCCCTCTCCACACCCGCAGTAGAAAAACGTCCAGCGCCATCTTCTGACTCCTCCTCTTCCAAAAAGAAGAAAGCAAAGGTAGAACAAGGTGGCTCATCAAGCTCAAAACTAAACACAGGTTGGTGCAAGTCTCCCGTTCAACAGCTGTTTGGTATTTTCTACTGTCTGCCTCTAAGCTGTGGCTTAGTAGTATGAATCAGTCTATCTGTGCATTTCGCTGTTGAGTCTTGTTATTCTTTCTCTTGTCACTTTTTGTTAAGAATTCTCTTATGTGATGGGAAGAACCTTTTACAGGTAGGGCCTCATCAGTGACTTGTTTGCTTTTACTCAGTTGGAGGAATTGCTACTGCTAAAATATTATTTGTATGAAGCTGAGCTTTGATTTGTGGATTTTGGTACTTGCTGGACCCAGAGGGCAAGCAGCAATGGTGGTCTCATTCTTTTGATCTCCTCTGTCTTTTTGGCAAGAGGGCGCCTAAAAATTTTGTTAATTGTAAGTTGTAGGCTATCCATCCATGAGATGGATTTTGTAACTTGCAACTTGTCTGGCTAGCGTATTGTGATCAGCGGTTGTTCTTGTTTTATTTGGAGCTGCTCTTTGTTCATGAATACCAAGGCTTCCTTAGGTTCTTGTCTGCTTCAGTCAGGAGTTTTGTCATTTTCCTGGGGTGGTGGCACTGGTAATGCATCTCTCAATATCAAATAAGAAGCACCAAAATAGTGGGAGCGAATGAGAAGTGCAGAAGATTTGTGTGAATGCAGCATCATGCTCTGTGTTTGCTTCCACTGTGCAAGGCACATAACTTGGGGGGGCCTTTTCAGTTTTCTGAAAGCACTGACAGTTCTCCTATGCACCCTAAAGGTCAAATCAAAAGTCAGGAGTTACTAAAACACAAAATACCCTGTTGTACAAATTCATTGCATGCTCGTATTTTGTGTGGCTCTCTTCTAAACTCCCAAACAAACAGTAGAGTTAAAAACAACAGAGAAAAACATCAAGGACAATAGGAGGAGTGGAGCGTCTTTTGTTTGAGGAGAAGAGTAGGGAGTTTGTGTATGTATCTCCAGCTTCTCAGGGTACCAAATACAGTTATCAGTCAGGCATTTTAAAAGATATCAAGGGAGGCCAGGTTTCCATCGGTCCCTTTGCCACACTCTCCTCTCCAAGTAAAATAAAATTCTCTGTGGAATATCTTAAGCTGCATATCCTGAGTGAGGGAAGTTTGCTGGGAAGGAGGGATGGGGAGGCAGGAAGAGGGCAGACAGTTCAAATGCAAGCAAGTCTGATCTGGAGGACTTGAGTAGATATGTGGCCAAGTGGTAGAGCAGATAAAGTGTAGTTTCTTTTCCGTGCATTTGTGGTCTGGGTATTTCATTAAGTGCTTTTGCAGCTGTCAAATGATTAGCTTACACAAATAGGAATGCGTTGATCTGAGGAAATGTGCTTTATCTTTTACGCTGCTATCTTCATTCCAGACAGTATCAGAAAGGTTTTGGGGTTTCTCTAACATTTTTATGCAGAATTGAGTTCAGTCTCCCTTCATTTTCCCTTGGAGAGTATTTACTCACTACTGAGGAACCAGTAAGGATGGGAGAAAAATAATGGAGAGCATGTGGACCAACTTCTTTCCTCTTGTTCTTAGGAATTGTCTCAGAACAAGGGTTCAGGTTGGCAAGCGACTGAATGGGCTAAGCAGCCACAAGCACAAATTGCCCTGTTATGCTTCAGAGTCAAAGCCCTTTCCCTCAAAACGTGCTTTTTGTTCCAGTCACCGGATTGTTAGGTGCCTGTCAGGATATGCGTGTGTCAGAGATGAGTCTTGGGGAGGTTGAGTAAAAACCTGGTCTTGGAGAAATCCCCGTCCCACCCACCCTGAAGAAGTTAATATTAAGATGATCAGTCCTAGTTTTGTTGTATAGCAACCACAAAGACGATAAATTATATCACAGTGATTGTGTGTTGGCATTGATAGTCCCTAGGTGTGTAGCACCTGCCAGTTCTCCTCTTTCTGTGATTTTTATGGCTCAGAGAACCTGCCCTTGTCACTTTCTGGGGAGGAGAGGCATTGTGATCATGCTGATCTTCAAATGACTGCATAGCTAATTGTGGCCTATGTGTGAAGATGTATTGTGAGCTTTTCAGTGAGAATAGTTACTAGTATATTTATTTGAAGTCATTGTTCAAACAAGTTATTTGAAAAAATTTGTTTGCTCAGTTCAGAATAGTAATTGGAAAAACAAATGAAATAGATCATATCTGTTTATTTATTTTTATTAATGAATAGTAAGTTGTGGCTAAGGTCTTACTCTTTATCTGAAAACCTTAGTCTTGATGGTCTTAGCCAACAGTAATCAAGAGTTGAATCTCCAGGAGCTGTTTCACAACTTAATCTACATGTAGGAAAGAGTCACCCTGAGGCTCTAGGGGTGTGCAAGGGAAGATCTTTGTCTTCTGTTCCTTGTGCAGATACCCAGCTCCCTTTTTAGATCTGTGAAATAAGTAGCTGGAGTGAGTCCCAAGATTTTTTGTTGTGTGTGCTTCTCAGGAAGGCATAATGACATGAAGCCAGTTGTGGTAGAGGCTAGCCTTGGTTACTTCCTGCACACTGCCTTCTTGTGTGCATCCACGATGATTGTTTTGTAGGAACACTGCAAGTGGACAGCAGTCCTGCTGTTTGGAGTGTTTGCTTTCAGGAAAAAGAGGCATGTTAGTTAATTCAGTGCATCACGATGACTACTTTTGCCTCTGTTAAGCAGGACACCAGTCTTTCAGGGCTTGATACTGTCAAATGCAGCAGAAAGTAGAGGCATCTACTCAGTGTCCCTGACAGTGGAGGGCATTATCATCACTAGTATTATCCTCATTGTATGTCTTGGTGTGAATGCTAAGTTGTCTTGTACCTGGGGCGTCAAATTCCATGAATTGTGCTTATAATTTGATTTTTTAGCTGAAAACATCTTCACATGGGACTGGTACTGACATTACTTCACTGTAACAAGTGTATCTGAGATGAATGGTTGCAGCAGTAGTTGTGTTGTTTTGTGATTGCAGAAGGCAGATTGCTTCTCCAGGTGAATCACTGGACTAGTTGTGCTGGTTAGTAGTGGTCTGGTTGTCTTGTCTTGTCCATCTCACCAACCAGGAAGAGCATGAGTCATATTAGCAAGTCCTTCATTGTATCCAGATCTTCTGGAGTTTAGGCATACTGATCTGATACAGGGAGTTTATGTATTTTTTTTTTTTAAAAAAAAAAGAGAGATAATTAGAGATACTGGCCATTAACAGAAAGGTATTTCTGACATGGATAGACTCCGAGATCAGTGTTATAGCTTACTTGTCCGTTTGGCCATTAGGTGGGTTTTGTTTACCTAGTGACAGGAGTATTATTTGTGTTTTATATAGTTAAATATCTCGTCCCACATGTAGCTTTGGTCTGAGATGTTTCTTTCTGGCCTACTTCTCTGGGTTCAGGAGTGTGAAAGACTTACCCAGCATTACTGATGACCATGCTGTTGGACGACATTATTACACTTGTAATTTGTAACTGTGGAACTTCCATGGTTTTAAAAACCATAGTCACAACACAGCTCCAGAAGAAAAATACTCTGGTGAGATAGAGGTCTGAGTGTTACACGGTCTGGTCAGTTTGCGAGAAAGCTGTGAGGGTGAACTCTCTGGGATGCATCGTCAGGCTGATGAAGGAAGCTGAGATTCTCTTGTGCAAAATGAAGTCACTTCTCACTGTGCATCCATCCCTCTGTCTCTAGTGCAGGGCAGCTTATCCTGGTGTGGCCTCTTTTGTGAAGCATGTCGACACCTGAAAGCTGCATGCAGGCTGAGCAAAATCACTGTCATTGATGTGGGAGGTCTGCAACCCATTTGCTTGTGTTGCTTGGCAAGAACTCGGTCAGCTCCAGTTCAGCTCTGAAAAGTTAAGATGATATATCCAGCATGTCTGACTCCCTGTAGTGTTGTTACCATAGAGGCAGCAGCCTTGGGCAGAAAAATGTCCCTGTTTCTTCTAGAACATAGTACCACTGCAGTATGCTTTTGTAAAAATAGTCAGATATTCTTAAGGTAGTGCATTAGTCACGTCTCGATACCCAGAAGTTATTAAACGGGTTGAATATGAAGTAAGGGGAGACCTGCCCCCTGAAACTGGAGAAGGGGGCAGATTGTACCACAGAAGGTTAGAAAAGACCATTTTAGGGATACGTTTCACGTTGGCTTAATTTTGTCCCACCACCCTCTCTTCTGAAAGTAAGAAACCTGTAATAAGAGCTGCCGAAGGCAAGAATTCCCGTAAACCTCTCTGTCTCATGGGGTCTCTTGCCATTCAACCCTTCTATCTCATACATTTTTTCTCATCCCTTGTATGTCTTTCCTGTGTCTGTGTGGTTGACCTCAGTGGGAGGACACTGCTGTGTCTTTGCCCTGTGTATGATCAGATTGTTTAGCATTTTTATAAATATTTTCTCCAGTTAAGCAACACGATTTTATGCGTTAGGCAACATTTGTTCTTTCAGGTAGACAAAGATCTATGCTAGTAAATCAATGTAAACAACAAAAGTTCATTTATAAACAAAAATTTTTTCTTCCCCCATAACATTGCAACAGATCATGGTTCTGCTAACCCTTTGCTAATTATTCAAGTTCACATCCAGAGATAAAATGATAACTCTTGCTGTTATATTTAAGTCCAAAAGAAAAAAAAGCATGTGACTTGCTCATTTGTAAGGTACAGGAGGCTTCATTCAAGGTGTTAAACATTCTTCAAATGCTGATGTTCAGTCCTTACTACACCACCTCTGTTTCATGCTTCCTGAAGCTGTTCATCATTGCTCTAACAGGATTGGGTTCATTCTCCAAGTCTTTCACAGTTTTATTTTTCACACAGCAGCAACAGTCTAGCAGTTCATAGAGGAAAGCCAACACCACCAGAGAAACTACTGTAAAGATGAATATGATCAGAATAATAAAGCAGGCAGTGTTCCAGTTATCATGGAAAGGGTAAATTTTTTGCACTTGAAAGCCCAGATACTGGGAAATGGATGTAGTCTCATTCCAGTGCGTAGTGTTGAGGGTTGCCATTCTTGAAGAGTTGTCTTAGCGTGCTCACTGTCACTGTTATGGGGGCTGAAACAGAAAAACAAAGCTGTTGAGGACTCTATTGATCAAGAACATGCTGTGATTTTTATCCCAAACTGTAAGAACTTAAGCTCAGACTAAGTGCTCACACCTCCTACAAGCATGGGTTGTTGCATACGCGTATTTACTCACAAAAGTATCAAACTCCAAATGCACAACTTTGAATTTGTCTGGAACATTTGTTTCAGTGATGACTGATCTATGCATGCATCATGTAGTGTAAATTATTCTGGAATGAGAGAGAGCTTTGCTTCTTTATTTCAAGTATATACAAAGACAAAAAGATAATTTTCAAGGTATGCAGTGTTTTAAACAACCTGTCCATCGTTAGTCTTGAGGTTGGTACTTACATGGTGTGAAAGCCCTCAGGGCTTTTTTGGCATTTTTAGAAAAACAGTACACCTGTGTACCACCCTCCCATATCTGAGTGATTAGAAGAACTTACTACATATTAATGTCATTGGAGTTTGCTTGCTTGTTTGTTGGGTTTTTTCCCCTATTTGGGAGAAAGACATAAATCACTCTTTACAAAAATGTGTAAATCATAACTATTTTGGAGGATGTTTTCAAAGAATGCGTCTGAACTTTTGGTTCTTCTAGCACAAAATAACAATCCTGGTTCCTTAAAACCCATTATTTTACAATCGCCTGTTAGCACAGACTTGTTAACCCTGCAAAATGCTTTTGACTTAAGGCCAGATTTTCCGACGTGTTCATTTCCCTGCTGTTCCACTGTTGAGTAGAAGTTTGTAATCAAGAAATCCCAACTGCTTCATTCCGCTGCCTGAACGGCACTGAGCACGTGTGGAAATCTCAGCCCGCTTGTGGTGTCATTGTCATTAGGATAGATAAGAAGGAAAACCCAACTCTTTCTGAGGAGTTCTGATTTCTTATTTTCAACTACTTTTTCTGCTTAACTGCTAGGAAAGGAATGTCGTCTTTGGTCCAATACTGTCTGTACCCAGCTGAAGAAAAGACTGCTTTGTGGTGTGGGGGAGAGATGAAGCAAGGAGTTGGCTGCCTTTGGCACGAATGGTGTTGCTGTCGAGACGTGCTGTTTCAGAAAGACCATTGCTTTAAAGTGTGAAAGTAGGCTGTGCCTCAGCAATTTCTGTAGTATATCTAGAACAAAAAAGCAGTTTTGTCTGTCTCTGAATTTCTCTGTGAATTACGGATAAGTAGGCAGATGCGGTGTTTGGCAATAACATCTTTACAGTTATGTGTGTCTCTTTCCCCTGGTTTCCTTCTTTCCCTGGCTTTGCTTCCCAAAACTGAGGGAATGTACAGTACTTTTGGTATATAGTCTAATGTAGTAAAATATGTCCAAGGAGCCACAGCAACTTCTGATTACCTGTCATAGCGTACTGTAGGACACCTTAATAACGTTTGAATCCTTCAGGCAATTTAAAACTGGATGTGGGAGAAGATCAAGTCTGATCTCCATACTCCCTTGAGGAAAGAGCAAGGAGCTTTTAGATGAAACTTGGTGGCAAGTAGCACTGGCAGACCAGCCTGTGCCCCACATGTAAGCCTGTTGGTAAGTGTGTGCTGGCTAAGGGGCAGCTTGCAAAATGTGCTTTTGTCTTCTGAGATGCCCCAGATGATGTGGGAATATGGAAGGGGAAGAGAGAGACAAGATGGTAACTTAGTAGAAACCTGGAGTCTTATTTCCATGCCTCAATGAAAGATTTTTTGATTTGAACATAAAGCAAAAAGTGAAAACCTAACTATGTTAATTACAAAATGGTCCTGGCTATCCACATTTAGTTTAATTTCATACAGTAATCAAAGCTACAGAATGAAAGGACAACGCTGATGTTTTGTTTGTTAAACTGTGCTTGCAGGTAACACTTTAATGAACCTTGCTTATCCCAGAAATAATTCTGCAATCAACTTGTTTAGACAGCAAAAACTAGAAAATGCCTGAATAAATGGGAAGTGATAAAGTGTGATGGTATCTACTAAACCAGATTACTTAAAGCAATCTAAGCTACTGTCATTATTTTTGTGTCATTATTTTAAAAAAGTATATTGTGCAAACCAGGATGATGCAGCCAACCTGCTTGCTTGCAATTTATGTCTTATTTTTATGGTTCAAATATTATACATTTTGTTCTTTATCCTTGTGTCTTTGATGGATTTAAAGTGAAACAGAACACTTTTATTGTTGAGAAGATACCTGACATTAGCACTTGATACAGACAGTTATTGGAGCAGTTGCAGTAACTTACCGTTTTGTCTGTTAAATCTGGAACTGAATCCACAAATTTGTAATTGAGTACACAAAGTATGACTGAGATGGGTAGAATTCATTAAATTGTTGGTTTGGTTTTTTGTTGTGGTTTTTTTTTTTTCTTAAACAGAAGTTTACAGAGCAAATCCTTGCTGAAAATACTCCTGAGTTGAGTTGGGTCCTATCTTTAAAAGTATGGCTTACTTTGGTCATGGTCTAGGAAGGAAACTCAGCTGACCTGTTTTATGGAGCTAAAAGTCAGAAGGGTTTTTGAAGGGGTTGTCTGAAGACTTATTTGAAAATCAGGGGCTGAGGGGGGGGAGATGAATAAAAGGATTTTTAGTCCCCTTTGAGGTGTAATTAAAACAAGCAGTATTTAAATGTGTATTTTAAATGGCAAGAGAATATCCTTGGGAAAGAAAGGAGGTTTGATTTGAACTTTTTAAACGGATTTCCAAGTCCAAGGATTTTGTTGGAATCTGTTACACATAAGTTTGCTCACTCTGTAATCAGCAGGCACAAAAGTTAACTGTTTCTGCTGATGCAAAATTTAGTATTTTAGTCACTACTAAAAGTGATCAAGAACTGAGGCCAGTGAAGAGACTGCGCATGTTTACATTACGTAGCCAGGACCCTTTGCTGGCACAGCTCTCCACCAAGGTGGTAGCTCTGTTCCCAAGAGTGAGAGGAGCATCTTTGGTGCTCCATGGCTCCCCAGGCAGGAGTCCCTGCTGCTCAGCTGCCAGCACAGTGCAGCAGCTGATTCCTTCCCACTCCACAGCCACCATTAGGGCAGCGATTTGCACAGCATAGAGAAGCTTGTCTTTATGCAAGGAGGTGGTATTTAATGCCGTGCCAGAGGTGGTTCCTGCTTCTTGAGGACGATGATGATGGTGATATCCTTAGATCTGAATGAAGCAAGGCAGATAAATACCAGCTACTCGTTGCTATAATTAGTAAAATACAAGACTGAAGTAGCCATTGCCAAGCCTTCAGAATTAACATATCACTAGTAAGGTTAGCGTCTTTGAAAGCTGTCGGAAATTCTGTGGTTTCATGCAGTTTTACCTGTTCTGTAATGGCACAATTTAAATTCATATTGTAAGCTGGTCTGGTTTGAATGCAGTTCAGCTGTTGTATGCATCCAAAATGCAGTGAGTTAAATATTTAATGAATTGGCTTCTGTAATATCTGTATTAGGTTTTAATTTAAAAGCATCATCATCTTTAGGCTCTGCAGAGGAGCAGCTTTATTTGAAATCATATTCATGGAGCAGAGGGAAATGACTGGCAAAAAATCATTTCAATGCAGTACTGAGGAAGTCCTGTTTAAGAAACCACTGAATAGACATCTTGGGGTAATAGCATTTACAAATCTCAGATGGATTCTAACCTGTCAGTTTGTACTGTATTGATTACTGCCTCAGTATTTACAAGGACAATAATATGCAATGGGATTTTCTTCCTACCAAATTTCTAGAACAGGTTTCTAATGTATCCACGAACATAGATCTTTTTTAGGCAGCTTAATTGGTACAGTTTACAGAATACCCACTTGAGACATACATTTCTTAAATTTCAGGTTTAGCTGTCTTTGTTTTAAGGAAAATCCTTTCACTGTCATTTCTGTAAAAACATATAGAATCCAATTACAAGGAACGTGAGGCTGCAGGAAACAAGCTACCTCCCCAGTAAGCAGCATGAAATCCATTTTGTTTACTGAATCTTCGCTTGGTGTATTAGCTTTTCTGTAAGATGGAGTGGTCATCAATTTTCCATTAGTGCACAGATGGTGAAAGTGCTTGTCTGATAGTGCAAGACAAGCTCCTCTGTGTTCAGTGCAATAAAATCCTGCTAAACCTAGAGAAAAATCATGCTGATTCTAAGAAGCTTTTTACAGGCTCATAGGTTACAGGCATATTTTCTTTCAGTAATCAAGATAAACCTAAGACAATGTTATAAAATGATACGCACCTACCTCTTGTCTGAAAGGATGCTGAAAGAGCGCTGTTCTGGTGCCTTTTTTTAACGCAGCCTATGGCACAGCTAAGATGGAGCTTTCCTACCATTGGCCAGAGCATGATGCTGCTGACAACTTCCTTTATGCTCATTTGCATCAAGCCCTCGACCCCAGGCGTAAATCATTCATAAATTTGATTCTTACTGTCTTGAATAAGAAACAAATCCCTTCCTGCTCTCATTTTTGGGATGTTCTTTGTGTGTAGTGAGCTTGTTAGAGGAGAAGCACGTTGGGAGCGCGATGGTGGCCGTGAACCTGCTTTGCTTTGCGCTGGAAAGCAGCCGGTCAAACCGTGACGTTTGAAGTGTTAATATCTGCAGATTTCCAGCTTCACCATGTGGTTAGATTTACTTGTCATGAGCTATAGCAGGCTGTAGCCAGGCAGATTAAGCAAGATAATCTTCTTGATTCAGTTGACAGAAATACATGATAAGTCATCTTAACTATTTGTTGTACCTCTGAATTTATTTTAGTCACTTTAGACCTCTTGTTACATGTATGGTTTTTTATTTTATAAAATGTCCTGCATATATATTAATTTTTAATGATAAAAGGGAACCCTGTAGGGGAAAATCCCTATAGACTGTATTTTCAAGGGGAGAAAGCTTTTGTTTTACTCTCTTTTTCCATCTTAATTTAGTAATCCGAATAAAATGTTCTTCTGTAGCTGGAGTTGTTCTGATTCTTCTATGTTAATTTTAGAATTGTGCTATGTAAAGCCTCTAATACAATGTCATGTAATAGCTTCACAATTACCAGCTGCCAAGTTTTAAATTTGAGATTTGTTCTTTCGGTATTATGTTTTTTAATATGCTAGCACCGGTTTCCATGAAGTCTTCCCAGTAATTATCAAAAGTGGATGTGTTTGAAATTTGACTACATCCAGAATTCCCACTTTGTCGTTGTCTTTTGTAGTGACTTACAGATCAGTTTAGAAGTAAGTTGAGATGCAGTGGGACAGACATGAAAAAATTCACCTGAAGCATAGGGACTTTGGAAACTTAATTTGGAGTTTCCTGTGAATAACTTGACAAGGATATCTGAATTTAAACACAGTGAATGTAGCAGACTTTCTCTAAGCCAGCCGCTTACTCAGTGGAGGTGATGGGTCTTTGTCAAACACCTTAAGTGCATTTTCTAGAATATGATGATCTTTTTTCTTAACTTTTTTTGCTACTACAAACCCCTGAGCCATTCCACTCCTCCTTATCACCACTCATCCATATGTTCCAGCTGCCCAGCAAAAGCTTTGCTTACCAGCTCTGTTCAGCACCCATTGCAACTTCTCCCTCAATTAATGCACTAACTTTAATTGTTCTTTTCTGTCCCTCAACTGATTTTTCCACTCAGGAGCTCAGTATCTTTGAGATACCTACTGTTCTGTCAAATGTGATTAGAAATCACCAGTGGATAAAAAATTCCTATGATGGCAAAGAGGAAATGTTCTTTTTCTGGAGTAGCTGAAATTCTGAAAAGCTGTTTCCATTAAGGTTGAGCAATGTTATCATGGTAATGGGCCTGTGGCTTTTGATAGTGTTTTGTGGATATTTCTATTCTATGTGATGTGCCAATAGCTAATGTTAATAAAACACTCATTAACAGCCTTGCCAGAATTTTTGAAACAAGATTAACACAGTAGCAAACCTCATGATACATTAAGACAGAACCAGATTTGACAACAGAGGGGATTCTGAATTGTTGTTCCAGTGGTGCAACACACCAAGTTGCATTGTTTTGGATTTATGGGGTTTTTTTTAATAAATTCTCTACTAGAGCTATTTTTATAAAAGCCCAGCACAACAAGCACAGCCTTCTTTTTACCTGGTGTATAACTGCTGAATATCATTTGGGAGTAAATGAAACTTTCTGCCCCTAGCTCAGCAGCATAAAGCTATCAGTAGAGCTAGTCACTGGGCAAAAATGCAGTGCATTATTTCAGTGTGAGTTAATGTAGTGTAAATTATTATGATATGTTAAGCCACAGAATTAAACACCTCCTCTTATGGTAATAATGTTGCAGTTGCTTGCTATTTTCTTAAAGGTTAAGTCCCAGTGACTACATTTGTGGAGCTCTGCTTGGCAGTGTTCCAGAGCCATGTCTGTTGACAGGTAACTCTGCAGGTCTGGATCAACACATGTGCTAGCACAGTCCTCTGATGGTGACCACTCCTGCAACACACATTTCTGTTCATTCTGAAAGCTTCTGGAAGTAGACTGAGAAAGAGATGAAGTGCCAACAGGTTGTTGTTGAAAGCATCATTTCATTGTTTGTTTCCTCCTTTTGTAGATCACAGCAATGGATCATTTAACTTGAAAGCCCTTTCCGGAGGCTCTGGCTACAAGTTTGGAGTCCTTGCTAAAATAGTGAATTATATGAAGGTATGGAGTTTTGATTTATTCTCCTGTGGTACCTGAAAGATGCTGAATATTTCAAACTCTCAAATTCTTTTACAGCAAGAGTGAGAATTTCAGGAATCATAGAATCACAGAATGGTTTGGGTTGGAAGGCACCTTAAAGATCATCTGGTTCAAACCCCCCTGCCATGGGCAGGGACACCTTCCACTAGGCCAGATTGCTCAGAGCTCCGTCCAACCTGGCCTGGAACAATTCCAGGGAGGGGGCAGCCACAATTTCTCTGGGCAACCTGCACAGTAAAGAATTTCTTCCTTATATCTAATCTAAATCTGCCCTCTTTCAGTTTAAAATCATTACCCCTTGTCCTATCCCTACACCCCCTGATAAGGAGCCCTCCCCATCTTTACTGCAGGCCCCCTTTCAGTACTGGAAGGCCACTATAAAGTCTCCCCAGAGCCTTCTCTTTTCCAGGCTGAACAACCCCAACTCTCTCAGCCTGTCCTCATGAGGGAGGTGCTCCAGCCACTGATCACCTTTTTGGCCTCCTCTGGACCCGCTCAGAATCACAGGATCATCTAGGTTGGAAAAGACCTTGAAGATCACCCAGTCCAACCATTAACCTAACAGTGACAGTTCTCAACTGCACCAGATCCCTCAGCGCTATGTTGACTCTACTCTTAAACTCCTCCAGGGATGGGGACTCCACCACCTCCCTGGGCAGCCCATTCCAACACCCAACAACCCCTTCTGGAAAGAAATGCTTCCTAATATCTAGTCTAAACCTTCCCTGGCGCAACTTGAGGCCATTACCTCTTGTCCTCTGGCCTGTTACTTGGTTAAAGAGACTCATCCCCAGCTCTCTGCAACCTCCTCTCAGGTAGCTGTAGAGGGCGATGAGGTCCCCCTTCAGCCTCCTCTTCTCCAGACTAAACCCCCCCAGTTCCCTCAGCCGCTCCCCGTACGACCTGTGCTCCAGACCCTGCACCAGCTCCGTTGCCCTTCTCTGGACACGCTCGAGTCATTCAATGTCCTTTTTGTAGTGAGGGTCCCAAAACAGAACACAGGAATCAAGGTGCCGCCTCACCAGTGCTGAGTACAAGGGTGAGATCCCTTCCCTGTCCCTGCTGGCCACGCTATTGCTGACACAAGCCAGGATGCCATTGGCCTTCTTGGCCACCTGGGCACACTGCTGGCTCCTGTTCATTGGGCTGTCAGTCAACGCCCCCAGGTCCCTCTCTGACTGGCAGCTCTCCAGCCACTCCTCCCCAAGCCTGTAGCGCTGCTGGGGGTTGTTGTGGGCCAAGGGCAGCCCCCGGCATTTGGTCTTATTGAAACTCCTCCAGTTGCCCTCAGCCCGTGGCTCCAGCCTGTCCAGGTCTCTGCAGAGCCTCCCTACCTTCAAGCAGATCAACACTCCCGCCCAACTTGGTGTCATCTGCAAACTGACTGAGGGTGCACTCGATCCCCTCGTCTAGATCGTCAATAAAGATGTTAAACAGCAGTGGCCCCAAAAACGAGCCCTGGGGGACACCACTCGTGACCGTCCACCAACCGGATTTAACTCTGTTCACCACAACTCTTTGGGCCCGGCCATCCAGACAGTTTTTTACCCAGCAAAGCGTGTGCCCATCCAAGCCACGAGCAGCAAATTTTGCCAGGAGAATGCTGTGGGAAACAGTGTCAAAGGCCTTACTAAAGTCAAGGTAGACAACATCCACAGCCATTCCCTCATCCAATAAACAGGTTGTCCTGTCGTAGAAGGAGATCAGGTTTGTCAGGCAGGACCTGCCTTTCATAAACCCATGCTGACTGGGCCTGAGCATCCGGTTGTCCCTCATGTGTTGTATGATGGCACTCAGGATGAGCTGCTCCATCAGCTTCCCAGGCACCGAAGTCAAGCTGACAGGCCTGTAATTTCCCAGATCAAACTTCTGACCCTTCTTATAGATGGGTGTCACACGGGCCAATTTCCAATCAGTCGGGACTGCCCCGTTCAGCCAGGACTGCTGGTAAATGATGGAAAGCGGCTTGGTGAGCACCCCAGCCAGCTCCTTCAGCACCCTCGGGTGTATCCCATCAGGTCCCATAGACTTGTGTGTGTCTGTGTGATGCAGTACGTCACTGACTGTCTTCTCCTGGAATGTGGGGGGTTGTTCTCCCAGTCTCTGTCTTCTGGCTGAGGAGACTGAGGCAAAGAAGGCATTAAGCACCTTCACCTTTTTCTCATCACTTGTTACCATGTTTCCTCCTGCATCTAGCAGGGGATGGAGGCTCTTCCTGGTCTTTCTTTGGCTGCTCGCATACTTACAGAAACATTTCTTGTTGTCCTTGACTGCTTAAGCCAGATTAATTTCCAGCTGGGCTTTAGCCTCCTGATTTCCACCCTGCATAGCCTCACAGCATCTTTGTTATCACTGTGAGTCACTAGCCCCTTCTTCCAAAAGCCTTAAACTTTCCTTTTTTCCTTGAGTTGCAGCCAAAGCTCCCTGTTTATCCAGGGTGGTCTTTTCTGATGCTGGTTTCTTTTCCAGCACCTGGGGACCAACTGCTCCTGAGCCATTAACACTTCCTTCTTAAAGAGCGCCCAGCCTTCCTGGGCCCCTGTACCCTTCAGGATTGTCTCCCAAGGGATGCTGTCATCTCTCCTGGCCTCTCTAAGAATGGAGAACTCTAATTATTTCATGATTGCTGTGCCCTAGTCGGCCTCCAACTGCCACATCATCCACCAGTCCCTCTCTGTTCACAAAGAGGAGGTCCAGCAGGGCACCTTCTCTGGTTGGTTCTCTCACCAGCTTTGTCAGGAAGTTGTCTGTCACACATTGTAGGAATCTCTGGGACTGATCCAGTTCTGCTGTTGTATTTCCAGCAGATGTCTAGGAAGTTAAGGTCACCCACAAGAAGAAGGGCAAGTGATCATGAGATTTCTCCTAAATACCTATAGAATATTTCATCCACCTCTCTGTCCTGGGTGGGTGGCCTATAGGAGACTCCCACTACAGCATCTGCCCTGATTCTAACACCAAGACACTCCACCCTGTCTTCACTACACTTGTACTCAAAGCAGTCATAACAGTCCCTAACATACAGCGCCACCCCACCACCTCTCCTTCCTTGTCTGTCCCTCCTAAAGAGCTTGTAGCCATCAACTGGCACACTCCAGTCATGGGAGACATCTCACCATGTTTCTGTAATAGCCACTACATCATAATTTCCTTTTGCATCACGGCTTCAAGCTCCTCCTGTTTGTTACCCATACTGTGTGCGTTGGTATAGATGCACTTCAGATGGGCTGATGTTTTGTCCCCTTCCCCTTTCAGATCTAGTCTAAAGCTCTGTCAGTGAGTCCAGCTAACTCCTGCCCCAAGATCCTTTTCCCCCTCTGGAACAGGTGCTTCCCATCCAATGCCAAAAGGTCTGGTGCCCTCTATACCAACCCATGATTGAAGAATCCAAAGCCCTGACAGTAACACCAGTCTTGGAGCCACAAGTTTATCTGTTGAGTTCTCTGATATTATTCTTCATCCATTCCCCCAACTGAAGGGATGGAGGAGAACAGAATTTGTGCCCCCAACCCCTTAAGCAGTTTCCCCAAGGACCTGAATTCTCTCTTCATTGCTTTAGGCCTTCTCCTGATAATGTCATCGCTACCTATCTGAAAAACCAAGAGAGGGCAGTAGTCCTTGGGTCTCACTAGAGCGGGGAGTTTTGCTGTGAGGTCCTTTACACAAGCCCCAGGGAGGCAGCAAACTTCCCTTTGAAGTGGGTCTGGTCTGCATATGGAGCATTCAACACCCCTCAGAATGGAATCACCCACTACAATGAGTCTTCTGGGGTTCTTTTCAGAACTGGTTTTAATACCTGGTCCAAAACCACCTGGCCTTCATGGACTTTTGTCTTCCTCTTTGTTTGTCTCATTTTCTTCCTCCTTCTTTATTCAAAAGTTCTGGGGCCCCGAATCTGTTGTGAAGAGACACCATGGAGGGTGAGGGAGGTTGAGAGAGGATTTTCCTGCCTCCCTGAGCAGACACCTGTTTCCAGCCTCCCTCGTCTCTTAGGGCCCCTCCTTCTGCCTGGTAGCAAGAGGATGAGGGATTACCTGCCTTGTTTAGAGCCTCCATTTGCTTCTGTTGCTTCACGGGTGCCAAGGTGCTACTCCACCAATCAATCTCCCTTTCACCCTCCCTAATACTTCTTAATCTTGTGACCTCTTCTTTGAGTTCCGCCACCAGACTGAGCAGGTCATCCAGCTGATCACAGTGCACACTAGCGTTGTCACAGCAGCCCAGGACCTGGACCACTGCATGTTTGTGTAGCAGTTCCATCTGGGTCACCACGTTCTTTCTGGTGGTGGTTTTGATACAAATGGAGACCATGGTTCAGTCTACTCATGGAGGATGTTAAGATTAAACTAGCTCAGATAAGTTCTAGACCCAGGTGAACTGCACCCTGCACAAGCTGACACACCACAACCTTCTGACGCGCCACACCTTGTTTGCCCGCCTTGTTCGCTGCACTCCTGGTTGCTCGTGCTCGTGCTCCCTGGGGGCTGCTCTTGTATGTGAGCGGTGTGGGGCATCATTACTCCAGTCCCCACACACTCTGAGTCCCCACTGCCCTCGTTCGCAGCTCACACTTCCCACTCGGGGGGTAGGTGACTTGAGCAGGTCCATGTCATTCTTCTGTTGGGAGCCCCACAGCTGGACACAGCACTGCAGGTGGAGTCTCACAAGAGTGGAGTAGAGGGGGAGAATCCCCTCCCTTGACCTGCTGGTCACACTTCTCTTAATGCAGCCCAGGATACAGTTGACTTTCTGGGCTGCAGGTGCACGTTGCTGGCTCATAGTTTTCCATCCACTACTACCCCCAAGTCCTTCTCCACAGGGCTGCTCTCAATGCACTCATGGCCCAACCTGTTTTTGTGCTTGGAACTGCCTCAGTCCATGTTCAGGACCTTGCACTTGGCCGTGTTGAACTTCAGGAGGTTTGTGCAGGCCCGCTACTCAAGTGTGTCAAGGTCCCTCTAGATGGCATCCCTTCCCTCCAGCATGTCGACCGTACCACACAGCTTGGTGTCACTGGAAAACTTCCTGAGGGTGCACTCAATCCCACTGTCCATGTTTCCAACAAAGGTGTTTAACAGTGCTGGTCCCAGCACCAACCCATGAGGAACATCACTCATCACCATTCTCTACTTGGACATCAAGCTGTTGTTGGGCATCAAGCTGTTGACTGCAACTCTTTGAGTGCAAACATCCAGCCAATTCCTTATACACCAAGTGGTCAATCCGTCAAATCCATGTCTCTCTAATTTAGAGCCAAGGATGTCATGTGGGATATGTCAGATGCTTTGCACAAGTCGAGGTAGATGACATCACTTGCTCTTCCCTTATCCACCAGTGCTGTAACCCCATCATAGAAAGCCACCAAATTTGTCAGGCACAATTTGCCCTTAGTGAAGCCATATTGGCTGTCACCAATCACTTTTTTTTTTTTTCATGTGCCCCACCATATTTTCCAGGAGGATCTGCTCCGTGATCTCGCCAGGCACAGAGGTGAGACTGGCTAGCCTGTAGTTCACTGGGTCTTCTTTATTTTCCTTTTTAAAAATAGAGGTTGCATTTCCCTTCTTCCAGTCAGCGGACACTTCACCAGCCTGCCACAATTTCTCAAATATGATGGATAGTGGCTCAGCCACTTCATCCACCACTTACCTCAAGACCCACGGATGCATCTCATCAGGTTCCTTAGATGGTCTTAAACCTGATCTTCTCCTACAGTGGGCAGTTCCTCATTCTCCTAGTACCTGCCTTTGCCTTCTGTGTCTTGGGCAGTGTGTCTAGAGCCCTTGCCAGTGAAGATTTGAGCAAAAATGTCATTGAGTACCTCAGCCTTCTCCATATTCCAGATAACCAAGTCTCCTGTTTCTTTTTGGAGAGGGCCCACATTTTTGCTAGTGTTCCTTTTAGCACTGACATAGCTATAGAAGCTTTTCTCATTGCCCTTGATGTTCCTCACCAGATTTAATTCTATCAGGGCTTTGGCCTTCCTAACTTGATCCCCGAGTACTTGAACAGTTTCTCTGTATTCCTCCCAGGCTACCTACCGTTTCTTCCACCCTCTGCAGGCTTCCTTTTTATGTCTGACTTTGTCCAGGAGGTTCTTGTTCATCCATCCAGGCCTCCTGGCATTCTTACCTGACTTCCTCTTTGTTGGGATGCATTGCTCCTGAGTTTGGAGGAGATGATCCTTGAATATTAACCAGCTTTCTTGGGCCCCTCTTCTCTCCAGGGCTTTATCCCATGCTACTCTGCCAAGCAGATCCCTGAAGAGGCCATGGTCTGCTCTCCTGAAGTCCAGGGTAGCGAGCTTGCTGTGCACCCTCCTCGCTGCCCGAAGGATCTTGAACTCTTGAACTACCATTTCATGGTCACTGCAGCCAAGGCTCCCCTTGAGCTTTACACTCCCCACCAGCCCTTCCTTGTTGGTGAGAGCAAGATCCAGCCTAGCACCTCTCCTCGTTGGCTCCTCTATCACTCAGAGAAGGAATTTACCATCAATGCATCCGAGACACCTCCTGGATAGCTTATGTGCTGCTGTGTTGTCCCTCCAATAGATATAAGGATGGTTGAAGTCTGCCGTGAGGACCAGGGCTTGTGAATGTGAGGCTGCTCCTATCTGTGTATAGCGGGCCTCATCTGATGGGTCCTTCTGGTTGGTTGTTCTGTAGCAGACCCCCATTATAACACTTCCTGTCCCTGCCCTCCCTTTAATCCTGACCCATAAACTCTTGGTTGGCTCTTCACCCATCCCCAGACAGAGCTCCATGCACTCTAGCTGGTCAGTGACATATAGGTTGACCGCCCCACCCCTCCTCATCTCCCCTGCTTGTCATTCCTAAAGACCCTGTATCCTTCCATTTCAACACTCCAGTCATAGGAGACATCCCACCACATCTCCATGATGCCAATAAGATCGTAGCCCTGCAGGTGTGTGGACGTCTCTGGCTCCTCTTGTTTATTCCCCATGCTACGTGTGTTTGCTTAGAGGCATTTAAGTTGGGCCTCTATGAAGCTGACTTACTGCCTGGAATTCCTTTGTGCTGCTCTTTAAGTGATCTCCTCCTGAGCTGTGATCCCTTTCCAGGCTCTGGGCATCTATTGCTGGCACTGGTGTCAAGCTGGTGGGATGGATTGAGGTTCCCCTCCACCAGCAAGAAAATGCTTGTTAAATTCAAAATGCTTTACTAAGCAAAACAGTCAGCATATTGTTCCATTACTGAAATCCTAATTATTCCAGGTCACTTTAAAACCAGGGCAGTGGTTTTTATTTGCAGTAGATATGGGAATTGCAAGATGCTGTCAGCTTTTAGGCTTCATGAGCTATTTATCAAAATGTGTAATTTGGTGCTTGATGGATGACTTTGACATCAGTACTGGCTGGTAATAATTTTTTTCTTCATATTCTCAAAACCCCTAAATCGAAACTCATATGCTATGTGTACTATGTCTGTCCTGTTTTGCAAAAGTTGTTTTGTCATCACATTATATCAGTTTTAGTTACTTTATGGTAATTGAATTGTTGAATAAAGTTCAGAACTCTAATAGATCCTATTTACTTTCCCAGACTCGACATCAGCGTGGTGATACACATCCATTAACCCTAGAAGAGATTTTGGATGAAACACAGCATTTAGATATTGGACTCAAACAGAAACAATGGTTAATGAGTGAGGTAAAGAAAACATAGGTCTAGATTTTAATTAGAGATAAAGGATTATGATAAACCTGAGTTATACATGTTTATTTAATTACAAGCTCTATAAATATATAATCCTCCCATTAAGAAACTACATTGATTCACATGTCTGTTTTGTACATCCTGCTGTTGAGGTAACTGTGAAATGAAAGCCATTCTGACATTTTTAAGGACTTGTTAGAATTGTTACACAGAGGGTATGTTTTATGTTATTAGTTAGTTATTAGTTATTGTGTATTTAGTTATTAGTTAAAAATAGTTATTTCATTACTAATTCTATATAAACAAGATGTTTTTCTTAGGGAATTTATTTTTTAAAAAATTTCAAGCAGAGAGTTCATCCAGTATCGAGGATGTTAAACTAAATAAACCAAAGGAGTACGGCACAAAATTCATAGGCTTACAGTTCTTTGTTACTTACTGAAATAAAGAATTCTGATGTAAAATTTATGTCTGAAATTGTGGGGTAATAGATTTGCAAATTCCACTGCTGGAGTTCATTAGTCTAAATCTAGATGCTAGGTTTCATTGTTACAGATTCACCATAACTTGCCGCCATACTCATCTTCATGCTTAATTGATCTGAATGTCTTAATGGAATTTCAAGATTAATAAATCAACAAAATCTGTTTTCAGTATTTATATTTGATTGGCATACCTGGTTTCACTCATATCTTATTTAAAATCCTCGTAACAGGATGGTAAAGGCTGTTGAGACATGGGAAAAAAAATCTCTGCATAGTAAAACTAGGATGGTTTTAAGTAATACAGCCAGTCACGTTCCTTTGCTATACCAGTACTAATATTCTGGGGTATGGAAACTTCTAATCCGGCAGTGTTGGTTGTGATGGAAGTTTAACTTTGCTGAAGTCCTTTTGAAAAGTAGCTCCAGGTTGTTTCCATAATGAATCAGAATATCGAGATGGAATGAAAAAGGTCCTCCCAAGAAATGTGTATAAAATTATCACTGAATTGTTGCTGGATGAGAAAAGATGAACAATACCCTGCAGCACCAAAGTTAGTTGCCTTCTCTGTTACAGGATTTTTCTCCCTCCTTTCTTCTTTCTGTGTCTCTTCTCTTTCTCCTTTCAGGGTCAGGCTGGCATCTGCAGAAGAAACTAAGTAGAGTTGCCCTCTGTTACAGGTGAACATCCATTGTGATACTGGCTGCACAGCGGAACTGATTTGGAGCATATCTTAAATCGTTTCAGTTGTCCATGAACTTCTGGCCAGCCTCACTCTGAAGCTGGCATCATCAGTAAAATCCTACTGTGTAGGGAGGTCTGCTCTTCTCAATTTCTTCTACAGCTGCTGGTGCCAACTGACAGCAGTTGGGGTAGACTGACTCCTGTTTTATTCATCCCAGGTTAATGCCTTTCACGTTCGTAACATCCATATGACCTGAGCCTGATATGCTGAGTTGTGCGTTTGCACTTTATATTCAGCCAAAGCACACTTTTTTGTGTTTCCTCTTCTTTTTATTTTCATTCCTTTCTCAAAAAGGAACACATGCGGCTTTCTGCCATAAGAGGTTACATGGACCTTCGAGCCCAAAGGCATTAAGTGAATGATGTTAAGCCTTCTTTGGTGCTTTCTGCTTTATGTTGTGGTGAATTATGCCTAGGCGGGTAGATCTAGGATCCAAGGATTTAAAATCCATTTCAGACTCAAACCTCCAAATGGGCAGCTGTAATGTGTGGCTGATATGCTCTAGCTGCTTTCGAGCGCACTAGGAAAAAAAGTATTAGCATATGCTCTTTTTAAAGGTTTAAAATTTATGTCCCTATTACAGGCTCTAGTCAACAATCCGAAAATAGAAGTTGTAGATGGGAAGTATGCTTTCAAACCCAAGTACAACTTGAAAGATAAAAAGGCTCTGCTCAGACTCTTGGACAAGCATGACCAACGAGGGCTGGGAGGTATCCTTTTAGAAGATATTGAGGAAGGGCTACCCAATGCACAGAAAGCTATAAAGGTGAGTAGCACGTGTCTGTGGTTCAGTGAACCCATTCCGGTTAGCTTCTTAAAGGGGACACAGAGGCTAAGGGAGAGTTTTCTCGTGAGTTAAACAACTGTTTCAGAAGATAATGTTGTAGCTTTTTCTGTATTTCATCCGTTATTTTCTGCTTTCGCCTGGCACAGCTGTCAAAGCTCTTTCTCACAAAACACTCTTGATCTCTCACATTCCATCTGTAGGCGTTTAGTTCTGCTTTTATACCTTGATCTCAGTCCTCTACTATATCTCATCTGTGATTTATTACTTGTTGTCAGTGTCCACTTTGGATGCTTTTCATAGCCAGTTACTTTGCTGCTTCTCTAGTGCTTTTTGTAGCACAAGATCTGGGTCTGTTGTTTAAGCTGGAATCCTTATTGTTGGAAGTGAAGTGATTTTGAGGTGTTCTTTTGCATTTGTTTTCAAGGCTTTAGGGGACCAGATCATCTTTGTTAATCGCCCTGATAAGAAGAAAATTCTCTTCTACAATGACAAGAGCTGTCAGTTTACGGTGGATGAAGGTAGGTGTTTGTTTATATATCTTGCCGTGATAGTTGATTTGAATTCATCTTAAGCACATATATATATAAGCAGTCTTAAGGTATAGGAGTCTTTTAAGGTGATAATGAAATATTAGGTATATCGAGATGTGGGGAGAATGGTTGACATCAACATGAGGCTAAGAAGACTAATAAGTGAGTTCAGGGGTAACATCCTCTGTTTTATAGTAGATACACTGGACCGTGTCACCAGGAATCCAACAATTCTCAAGTGTAGTAGTACAGACTAAAAATCAGTTGACTGTGACTAAGATGGCATCTAACATTTTGCATACAAAAAAACCCTAAAAGAATGGCTTCTGGGTGCAAGTTTGTTGGGTGTTTTTTTTACAGTTTATTAGTCATGTGCCTTTTATTGGTGTATACACAAGAAGCCACAAATGGAATAGAAGGAGGAAGCAAAAAGGGAAGAGATATGAGCAGAAGTCCTGAGAAGGGGTAGTTTACAACTGGGAGGAGAGCAGCGCAGTTGTGGGGTAGTGCTGTTGCCTAGAGCTGGAGAGGATTTGGGACTTCAAAAGTTCAGTATGTGTTTTCTGTCTAACAGGTAGTGGTAAAATCCTCTGGTGCAATGTGGCTGTTTATCCACAGAATTAATTACGCAAACTGGGGTGTGTTCCAGTAATGACATTTATACCAGCATCAGATGCCTGTAAGTAGAGAAAGGAGAAGGCAATCTGTGTCAAAAGATCTTATTTTAAATGACTCAACACACTGAACACTTTCTGTTGTTAACATAATTGTTCTTGTAACATGCCACATAAAGCCATCTTACCATATCACATTATGGTTAAAAAAAAGGAAAGAGTTTTGATAGAAACTTGGAACTGCTCTACTTACAGGACCATAGGACAAAGCATAAAGCCCTTTTTTTCTTTGACTAGCTCAGAGAGACTCTTTATTTTCGATAGAATTAAGCTACTGGAAATGTGTATCATTAACTTATTTGTTATGTATCACGCTTGTACTCAGTAATAATAGCTTTCTTCCACAGAGATAATTAAGTAGATGTGACATCTACAGCATTTAAAAATACAAAAATTGTTTCAAAATATTGAAGTGAATCTCTTTTTAAACCATATTTTCTGTCATTTCTTGGTAGTGGCAGTCAGAACTATATGTAAAATGCAGAATAATAAGCCTTTAGTCTGCATTCACTGGGGAATTTCTAACGTCCCAAATGCCTGTGGCTAAAACATTTAGAAATCAGTGCTGTTGCAGTAACTGTTAAGACAAAGCTTTTTAAGTTTTTTAGCACCTACTGTTTGTATTACAGTCATGATTGCTGATCATTTCTTCTTGCACATTTTTTTCCAGATAACTGTCACCCAACCATCCTAAAAGAGGTATCAGGGGAAGATCTCTACCTGTTGCTCTTAGTTTGTAATAACCCCAGGATTAACTGTGACATTTAATAAAAGAGCCCATTTTATTAAGATGTAGCAAGAGACATCTGCCAACTCTTCATCATGTAGTCAGTATAAATCCAAGGTGTTCATATATAATACATAATGTTTTAGCACACCCAGAACTGCTCTGTGTTTAATAGGAAGTAGGGCAGGCTATTGCTATGAAAGGAGGGAAGGGGTTAAAAAAAAAAAAAAAAAAAGCGCCAGTCTAAAACCCCTTGAAATAAAACGTTTAAGCCGTTTGACTCAATCTCATGATGAAGGCAGAGATTTAGGCCTGCGGTGTCTAAAGGAGGGATTGCTTAGTGTGCAGTGTGTTTGTAGTTCAAGGTGGCTTTTCTTGCTTTCATCCGCAGGTGGCAGCATGTTCCTATCTGATCAAACAGTGATTTTTTTATTTTTTTTTTTTTCCTGCTGGTCTTGGTTTTTCTTTTGGTACGGTTGATAATGCTTTGTTCTGAGAGGGCATAAGAATACTTTCTCTTTTGTGCATTTTATGATCTGCCTGCATATGCCACAACTCTTAAAACATCCCTGAGTGGTTTCACTTACTTATTGCAGCTGGAACAGGTCCTTTTTCCAACCATGTTATCTTGTGATGAAGAAAACCTATCCTTCCTGAGCAGTTTTGCTTTACAATTCTTTCCAGAGCACCAGAAGCATGTCTCTTAGGGAGTCATTGGCAGAATTGTCTGCATACAGGATGAGTTATGACACGTTTCTGCGTTAGCAGTGCTATTTCAGCTCATTATCTCCAGCAACGTTAAAAGGAAGTTTTTAGAAGACTGCAAAATAAGCCTTGAAGTGTTGTCAGACTCTTTGATCTAGCAGCTGATGACAGTTCAAAATATGTTTCTAGTTTAATGTTTATCCTTAGAAATAAGAGTTCTGTGCTCCTTAGCACGTGATTCTGCCGTATGACACTCTCCAGTTTCAAATATATGTTGGTTGGGAGTAACATCTTCTGAAAGTTAGGTGTCCTCTCCCATCACTTTCTGAGCGCCATCAGTAGTTAGTAAAGAAAGAGGAACTGCCAGGGCAATTTGGAGCTTGCCGTCTAAAGTAGTGTGAGGAACTGCTTTCTGGCAGTGCCTACCTCTGCCCTTGCTGCAGTTGTTTTGATGGCTGAACAAGCTTTTGTTTCTACCCTTTTGAAAATAAATCCCAAGGTACTGCAGCAGTGATGCGGTACCTATATATCGTGATCTCAAGGGTACTGGAGAAGGTTTTCGCAGTAAGGAGCAGCTTTTGTTCTTCCTTTTATGTGATTAGCCAAGGAAGGTTCAGATTGCATGTGTTCCTTCTTGACTTCCTGACTAATTAATCTTCTGTCAGTAGTGTGTAGCTGAAAGCGTTTATAAAAGCCGGGCTAGATTTCAGGTGCTTCAGCCAAGGAAAGCACTGCTTTTTTGTGCTGGGGCTAAGCACTTTGCATGTGAACCAAGCTTTCACCCTCTGCGGCTGAATGCTGAAAGGCTGGTCTGATTGCTTAACTGTTGGAGATGCTATCTTTCACATCTGAATGCAATATAGGAAGTATTCTAATGCCTAAAAAGTTCAGATGCTTAAATATACATGTTTTTAATGTTCTTCCTAAGTACCTTTGAAGAGATTTAAAGAATGGCCAAAGCCTCTTAAATTTAACAGTATAAAAATTGCTTGGGATCAGCGTGACTCATGGCTCTGGCTTTGGATTCCAGGGTGGTTCAGGGGGCAATACAGACTTAATATCAAGCACCTTTTCTTTCTGGTATAAATCTAGTACTATGTTCCCTGGGACTATTAGGAAGCAGAACTCCATCTTCCCCACTACTTGGTTGTTTCTTCCCTTCTGCCCTGTTATTGTCTGTTGTTGTCCTGTGCTCAGCTCAATGAAGATTTTTAAACTGCTTTTAATCTGTGGCAGGTTTTATTACCAGTGTGATGTAGCAGTTTATCTCCAGAAGCCATCTCAACCTTTTTGCAAGAGCAGGTGAGGCAGTTAGAAGTGCAGGATGAGCTGCACTGAAGTCACCATGCAACCATTTATCCATGACTTTGTTCCGCAAATGTAAGCATTTATAGAAGGAGAGCATGTTAGTGTAATCACTCGGGGAATGTCAGTGCAAATTGGTTTTGTGTATGAGGCACCTCATGATGCAGTAAAGTTGAGGTAACTGTGCATCCTCACCCCTTGGGTATTTTGGAGAGAGAAGGTGTTTGCAAAATCTTTGTTAATGCTGCCCTCTGCTTTGCTGTGTGTAGGTTATTGCTGGTCAAAGCTCATTGCTTTAACTCTGTGTATGCAGACATCGTGATGCTGGAGACTTCAGCAAACATCTAAACTGGCCTTTCAATCAGCCCATGGTCCCACTCCTTCCTCTCATTACTTGAAAGACCAGAAGTTAGCTATCTGGAGAAGCAAGGGAGTAGCCTGTGAGTAGTGTTGATTCTGTTCAAGTTTCTGAGTCAGAATATTTTAGTCATGATATTGCATATGAGATTTGTTCATAGTCCAGGCAAGAGACCAAGCACCTGCCTCAGGTACTGGGTTTACAACATTCTGCCGCTTCTGGGGAAGATCTGCACTGGCATCAAGACTTAAAAGCTCTGCTGAAAATGCGCATGTTGCCTTGAGAGTTCACAGCACCTGTGCTTTGGCCAGAAAATCTTTGGAAATTTCTCCCCAGGGGACTTTTTTCTGGGTTCTGTCTTGTCATAGCAGCCGAAGCAGTAGGAGAAATTGTCAGCTTTGCTGAATGCAGCCTGCTGTAGCCAGGCGAAGCCTTACTGTCTTGACTACTGGACAGTTTTTTTTTCCTTCCGTAGCTATTATACACTTGTTCTGGCTGATCTATCAAATAGTTTAGTGGCTCTGATAGAGTCTTTCACCTTCACTGTGTTCTGATGGTGTAGAGATCACCTAGTGGTTGATGGGACATGGAGGAGGAAAGTTGAATGTGCTATGTAATCATAATGGCTACATGGCGCTGCAGGAATGTGTGCATCTGAACTGGTTCTCTGTGCCTGGCTGAAGCAGGCCAGCATGTGGTGAGCTTTCTGCTCCAACAATCCCCTTACTGCTGCTCACACCAGTACCGAACTCTCTGTGCCTTGTCCACAGAGCAAAATAAGGCATTGTGAAAAATGGATCTGGTGTATTGAAACCATCGTTCCTAGAGAACGTTCCTAGAGTGCTTTCTATCACTGTTGTCTGCTCTTCAGACACATCAGCTCATCACAGAATTTTTCCTTCCTCCTTCTCCCCACCCCAGAGACAGGCCATCCCACTGGATCCTTCTGCCTGGCCAACCATAGGTGTGGATGCTGCTCCAGAGGTGATAGAGCACAGTAGTCAAGTCGTTGTGTTCCATTTTCTCTGCCCTGACCCCTCTCATGAACTACTGCTTTTAACAAGTGCTGACCCCCTTTTCTTGGAGCCATACAGCAAAGGCCGAGGTGACAGTATTTCAAATTCCTCAAAGAAGCTGGAGAAATCTTTTTCTATCTTGGGTCAAGGGTATGAATTTTGATGTGCACAAATACCACAGCTACAAATGCAGAGCGTTGTTTCTTGAGAGCTGTAGTTATTGCCAGCTTTTCCCATTGGCTCTCGTATTTCAGAGAGGATGTAGCAATAATTCAGATAGCATATTCCCAAGGTCTAAACTTTCACTAGCTGATAGGGGCATAGTCACTGGAGACTTCTGAATAAATCTGACAGGTTATGTGGAAATGGTTCAGTGCCAGCCAGACAGCTGCACTCTTTTTTTCAGTTCTTGCATTTAGTTCAGTGTGCGGTGTTACACCAAGTCGGTTTTGTGATGAGATGATAGGTGATTCTCGTTTTCCCTTTAGATGGCACCCTAAATGCAAACAGCTAGTATGCACAGGCTTCTGAAGGGTGGCAACTCTCTATGTTTCTCCACCTTTATCCTGTGCTTTTAGTCCTGAACCAGTCCTTTAACAGCAAGTATTTCTGGAGCTGGGAGGGGGATACACTGTGTTGTTGTGACTCCCTCCCGCCCCCGACCCGTTCCTAGACAATGTGAGGTATTTCAATGCCCTACATGGAGCCTCAGCCTGAGAAGGTTTATTTGCAGTTGCCACAGTCAAAGCAATAGCATTGAAAGCAGCCTGATTTATGAAGGAATTTTTAAATGGAGTTGCAGAATACTGTATAGTGACTCTGGTGGGGCAAATTAGTGGATTAAATTATCTGTATGTAAAGCCCATTTTAGCTTTACTGTTTTGATTCTTGGTAACTGTTACATTCATATTTCTTGGCCAAGTTTAAAAGGTGAATGTGAAGCTGTGATGATGGTATAACTGCTGCTTTACAAGAAATGCAAAACTCTGTGGTTAGATATTAACTGTGATCTGTGCATGTTGATCCTTGAAGAGCTGACCATTTATTTTCTAGTGTTTAATTTTTCACTTCTGTTCCCCAGAAGAATGTAGACCAGTTTAACCTTAAGCACCTATCCTCAGCCAGCCTTTTTTTTTTTTTTTCCATTGGTGCATATTTGTCTATATATCATGAACTCTAATAAGGAGACCCATCATCTGTGTTTGTGGCAGAACATTATACATAAAAGGGACACTGTCATGTAAATGTTCAGAGTTATCAGGTCTCTCATCTGCTGTCTCCTCATGTACATGCGCCTGTTGTGCATCTTGGAGGGCTGACCTGCATCTCTTAGCTCCCATGGGAGTCGTCTGTGTGAAGCCAAAGGCAGTATAGCACAACACAACCTCAAAGTGTCTCTAACCAGGATCTGTTAAATAGTCATGCCTTTATGTGTGGCCTTGCCACTTCTCATGTGAGGTGCAGAAACATGGGATTTGAAATATGGTTCCTTGTGAAGTGCGATACCGCATTTGCATTACCCACTGCCTGATGGATCTTTCCAAGCACCACAGGGTCTTGTTGTCCATCTCAGTCTAGCTTGGGTGTTCAGGACCGGGAGGGGACATACACAGAAAGGAAATAGATTGAAAGAGCGTGTCCTGCTTGGTCTGGAGGATGCAATAGGACCCTTAATTTGAGTGCTCATCACTGAGAAATCTCTCTTGCATGTTCAGCTTTGATCATAACACAACCTTCTCCATCTGCTGCAGTAGGATTAGGTGAGAGATGATCTGTGATAGCAGGCACTGCAAACTATGCCGAAAGCCTGGAATCACACTCAAAATGGATGAGCAGAAGGAGAATGTATTGACTACAGTGTCAGTCCTTGCATTAAGTTATCTAAAAACTGCAGTCTCAATGATCCCGCTGTGCTGTATAGTCTGAGAAACAAGCTGACTGCTGTCTCCACATAACCAAAAGTGGTGTTTTGACAGGGTTTAATTCTCCTCAAAAACACTGCATTACCAAAAATGAACATTATTGTTCTTTACTGGTGAAATTCCTTTCTTTCCTTTCCTGGAAAGCTTGGACAGCCCCTTATTGTTGGCAGTGGGAAGAAAAGGAGAACCTGAGACTTAAAGCATCTAGGTTCATAGAAAAACAAGATGCATTAGGAAGGGAATTGGTCCAAGTGTAGGAACCCAGTCTGTTATGTACAGTGCCATTTTGTTTCAGCGTGTCTAGAGGCAGTGTATCTGTGGCAGACTGTCACTGGAGTGTTTCATTGCCTGCTGCATAGGACAGCTTCTTAAGCATGCAGAAGTTGTGGTTGTTTTGACAACTGTATACTAAATTTATCTGGAAATAAAGGGAAAAATTTAGTCTTGCGTTGCTATGTGTGCCTCCTGTTTTATTTATAGTTTGTTAGCCAAACCTGCTGACAGGATATATCTAACTTACTGCCTGGGGAATGAAGGGAGGTAGGATTGTACCAGCCGCTGCCTGGAGAAGGCATTCCAGAGGCTCTGTGAAATTTTACATGAGGCAGAAAGTGTGCAGGCAGATGGCAGCTGCTCTAATTAAGACTTACTGTCTGTCTTTTTTCCCGCTGCTGTGGCTTTTAAGGTATCTCTCCTCTTTTTAACACCAGAGGAATTTTAGTAATTTATTATCTGTACAGCACAGTATGTATTATATTACAGTGATAAACGAGCTTAAACACACTGAAGTAAATGTCTTGAACCTTCAGTAAATTGGACTATGAGATGACAAGTCTCCCAAGGCAATGGCAGCTGAAGATGTGGAAATGAAGTTTCCATTTATGGTTAAGTACTACCCTTCACCAGGATCTTTTGAACTGAGGCTTATAAAACACGTTGACATTCTACACAGCTGTAGAGATGCTAGGCAAAAAGAGACTGTAGCAAATTAACATTAAAAGCACAGTGTGCCTGTGGGTGCTCCTGATGCTGGGATGCTGGAGCAAAGTTAGCACAGATGAGAATCAGCTCATCTTCTTCCATTACATGTTAGGGGTGTTTTGTTATTGTTTTGTTGGTTGGGGTTTGGGGTTTTTTCAGTTGTGTGAGTTTTTTAGAAGTGCCTCCTGCATTTGGAGTGGGTAAAGGCTGTGCTTACTGGGTGCCTGCTGGCAGCAACCACTGCATCTGTATGGTCATGGACCAACATGCTAGAATACTGCAGAGTTTGAAATCAAGCTTGTTTCTTTCCCTTCGTTTGGGGGCTTTTCCCAGGGTTTGTTCATTTAGATATAAAATAAGGGTTTGTTTGGTGTTTCAGAATTTCAGAAGCTGTGGAGGAGCATTCCCGTGGATTCTATGGATGAGGAGAAAATTGAAGAGTATCTGAAACGACAGGGTATTTCTTCCATGCAAGAAACTGGACCAAAGAAAATAGTAAGAGATACAAATTACAGACCTTTCTAGATTTCCCCTTCCTGACCCCCCAGTGTTAATTGCAAAACATGTAGGTGAGGTTATGCACAGCTGCTTTGTCTAGCTCAGGGAAGTGTGACCGATTTGAAGAAGTTGCAGAAAACAATGCTGTAGCCAGCAGTCAGTGCTTTTATAACTTGTTTGAGCCAGTGTAATCCAAGCAGCATCAAGAAGAGGGCAAATGCCAGAAATCCCTGTGAGCTCCGAAGTGGAAGCTTCTGCATGAAGCTGTGCATTAGGAATAGAAGAACAGTTACTTTTTCGGGGAGAATGATTTTTTTTTTTTTTTCAAACTTTTTATTTTCTGATAAATAGTTTTGAAATCCTGATGGGAACTGTGTAATGTGCTTCTCACCACACACACAGTGTTCTCCAAGCTGGGTGCAATATGCTTGTGTTTTACTGGGGGGGCAAAATGGCTGCAAGCTCTCCAAAGATGCTTTCTCCCTGGCTTCAAACAATTACTATTTTTTATAACATTTATTTGTATGTGATATACGATATATTTTCTCTTCTGCACTTGGCTTCAGACTGTCCTTTCCTGAGAGCTTTTCTACCCAGGACTTGTTCCTGGTTTCTACTAGTCCCTACACTAGATGCTTTAATGCCTGTCTTCATGTAGGCACTCCTCGTGGATTCCTTATAAGCTAAATGTGTCTTGGAGCATATAACTGTGGATAGAATTACGGGGCATGTACCTGCTTCTGTAGCTATATGGGAGCATTTGGAAATTTCACTTACAAATGCCAGCTTTACTACTGTGCATGAGTTACGGACTCTGCTCTGTCCCCAGGGTCATCTGCCTGCCTGGATTTGAATTGAATGCTGTTGCTTTTTGCAAAAAACAAGCAAGCACCTTCCCTGCCAGCCCACCCCTGGTTCAAGCAGGGCTCTTCTTCCTATAAGTGATGACTAGCACAGGGTCACACATCAGGTCAGATGTTGCAGCTGGAGGGCAGATCTTTTGACTATTGTTTATTTCTTCTTGTAGGCTCCTATTCAGAGGAGGAAGAAACCAGCTTCTCAGAAGAAACGTCGATTTAAGACTCACAATGACCACTTGGCTGGAGTATTAAAAGATTACTCCGATGTCGTTCCTGGCAAACAGTGACGGGCTGAATTCTGGAGTAAACGTGCATTTTTATACAGGCTTTTTGCCACTCGGGCTCAGTGTCTGCTCGCAGAAAGACTGACTGTATATAGTAATGTGATGTGTTTCCCCCATCCCAGCAACTGCCGAGATGAAACAGGTCAGTTTAAGAGCAAGTATGAACTACTAAATTTAGAGTTAATTTAATTAGCTAATGGGAAATGTGTCTTTAAGTAAGAGGTTCTCACTAGTTGTCTCTTGGCATAGAGTGATAAGTGGTGCTCAGCATGTAATGCAGGAGTTCCTGTTCAGTGCTTAACTCTGCTTTTACATTGCTTAATGGGTATTTACCTGGAATTACTTACAAGGGGCTTTCTAGTACAATTGAATACAGCATTTGTTTTACCTATTTCAGGAAAACCTTTTCCTGAAATCACTGCAGGCAAGTTTCTTTCACAGTCAAAAACACCCACGGTTTGTATGCTTCTTCCCTGCCATGGGACTGAGCTTTACTGAACGTCAGTGATATCTGAGGCTCAAACTCAGAAAAAACCCTCTCCTGAACTCCCAGGAGGCTGCAGGATGGCAATGGAGCTGGAGCTTCCTAATGCAAATCAGAAATTGCCCTCGGCAATTTCTTGTCACTGTAGGGGTTGCACGGGTGTTGCACAGTTCTCTATGGACAGGAGCAAATGAAATGGCAGTGTAATACTGAAGCTTTTTTTTTTTTTTTAAGTAATAAATTTACAATGCTGGTTTCCAGTGTTACTTCCTTAAAGAATGAGAGAATCAAAATCTTTCATGCTTGCTGCATTTTTCCTTTTCAAAGAGGTAAAGGAATCTTTATATTTTTTTATATTTTTATCTTCTCAGTGACCTGTTGTTCTGGGCTGACATCTTTTTATCATTGTTGGTTGGGGAGGGGGGAGGAACCACCTTAAATGAAAGCTCCCTGTAGATGCCTGATGTTCTGTGCAGTACAGACCAACATGGAATGTGGCCAAATTATGTCCTCTTGATAACTTATTTTTATGTACTAAACCAGAGTCAATCAATGCTGATACTGTTTTCATGGCACTGTGGGAGAGGAGCTCTTCTCTGCTCTTGTAGGGTTAGGATCAAAGATAAAACAGGTGACTGCAGTATCCCACTGACAGTAGATTACGTGCATGCTGTTGTCTTGCTTGATGTATCAGGGGTTGAAGCAGAGGCCATTGGCTCTGGACACATGAACAGATGAAGAATAAGGCTTTGTTGCCGTCGCACCGAACAAGTTACGTCTGCTTGGGGAAGTGCAGGAGGAGAAATATACTTCTGGATGTGTAGCATTTATCCTCCTGACTTTAAAGACGGCTCTTTTGAGAAATGGACAATACTTCCAGCATTGCACATGTCAGCCCTGTTTAAAGAGTTGCTAAATGCCTGTGGGAGGTTTCTTCTAATTTTTTTATGCTTTTTAAATATATATATATATATATGTATAAAAAAGCATGCTGCTCCAGCTGGTTTTGAAACTCTTTTTCTTTCCTCTATCTTCTAGGTCAGCACAAGCAATTCCTCTTGGAGCTTTTTAGTTTTCTGTTACAGCTCTGCTTTAAAGCACCCACGGTACACTTGCAAAACTATTCACCTCTCTTCTGTCATCTTCACTCAAAAAAAAAAAAAGGTTCCCTTCCATCTGCTGCATTTTTGAGCAGTGATTTTTTGGGTGGTAGGACTCAGACAAAAGCAGAGCTCTTAGTGAGCTCTGAGTTTCCTTTCATACCTTTGGGGTGTTTTATGGGGTAACTTCCCAGTCATCTTACCTAGCATTACCTTTTCTCTATGAACCAAAGCTTGCAAAGTGGACCATAAGGTAGGCTACCTGTTTTGTTTCTCTGCTCAAGTAATTAAGATAATAGGGGATTCTAAAGAAAATGCCTCCAGCTACTTTCAAAGATGAAAAATATGTTAGGTCAGAAAATAGGAGAGCAGGAAAGAAAGACTGACTGCTGGCTCTGCATGCTGTGCTGGCATTGTCAGGCTCCAATGTTCAAAGAAACAAAACGATCCAGTTGATGTGCAGTTGGAAAGACTGGATTAGATGCTTTGTCTCACTGGAGAAAGTCTTCTCTGCTGTACTAGCAGAGAGGGCATGATGAGTTTTACAGATTGTTAGGGTACAGACTCAAAAATAGCTGAAGGGATGCTCACACTGGCCTGTTAGAGGTGATATGGAATATCGACAAGCAGTCGTGAAGAAAACAAGTTCAGAAAATAAGCATGAGCTCCTCTCTTTTGTGTGGGTTTCAGGAGTTGGGTTTTGTTTCTCTGTCAAAGATGCTCTCAGCATTCCTTACGTTTTTTTTTCCAAGACCTCTTACAAATCAAATGGTACAACTTGAAAACGTCTCAGACTGTATCAATGGGAGTCTGTTTGTTGAAACCATTTTAGTACCGCTCCAGTCCACTTCAGTCTCTTCACAGCATAATATCCAAATCAGGCTTTTCAATGAAGTTCAGCATAAGAGTTCACAGCTGTTAAAATCTTAAACCTAATTCCTCTTCTTCCAAGGTATTCTCATGTATTTTGTGTCTGGCAAGATGGTTCTCCCAGTGGCCAAAACCATCATGCTTTCAGTTCACTGTCTTTGGCAAAATCCTTCTTCCCTCAGTCTGGCAGTGCCAAGGGCTGCTGAGAGGCATCATGCTCTCTCCAGGGGGCTGTGGGCCTCTTACTCCATTTTTCTTTTCATTCTCTGGAAGCATCTGCGCTAACCAGGAGGATAAGGGGACTCGGGCTGCCCTTGACAAAGACAGAACATAGAATAGATTTCAGTTGGAATGGACCTACAATGATCATCTATTCCATGGCAGGCACCTTTGTTTCATGCATTTCAGGAAGGCTCTTTGGCAAACCCATCTCAATGCGGTATTTACCTGTCCGAGCCAGGTGAGGACTGGCCGTTTCCACTCTCCTGAGGCTTCTCGGGTGATGCATGTTCCCTTAGCTCCGGGATTCGGTGTGTCAGTCCTGACAGGGCTGTCGTTTGAGCCTTTCTAATCTTCTGGGGTGGTGGAGGAATGCAGGCACTGATGAGCAGTTCTTCTGATGCAGCATCCTTCTCTTCTTGCCCTGCCCTATCAGCCAGGAGCAGAGAGACATCCAGCTCCCACCCCTGGTGATGCTGATGGACATACAGACAGGGCTCTGGGGAAAAGACAAATGCTCTTTCTCAGTGATGAAAGCTCTCTGAGCTATATCTTAGCTGTCTTAGATTATCCTTTTGCTTGCACGATTACATCTTGAGCCTGTGGCTGTGAGGACAGTATCTGCAGCGGTTGCTAGAGCTATTCCCAAGAGAACACAGTTCTCGAGGTCTGCAAGCAGAGACATGCACTCAGGCCTCTTGGATGCTCAGTATTACACTAGTTCATCTTGTTGGGAGAGAGTTGTGCCAGTTTCACTGTGATGAAACTGGAAGGAGGGAGCTGGTGGGGTAAGCAGGGTCACATCACTGATAGCTTTTCCTCTCTAGCTGGGTGTTGCTGGTCTAGGATTTGCTTCTGAAAAGGTAACCTCATAGGTTATGTCAGCAAACATGCCTGTGGGGATGGGGGGCTGCACTGGCCCTTCAGGAGGAGCTCATTAGGACTTCTTTGTGTCTATGTGAATGAGACCTTTTATTTTGTCTGTTCCTCCTCACCCCCAAAATAAAAGCACTCTTGTTTTTTGAAAGTACAAGCTGAATAGCCCATGGGTGTCACATCTCTAAAGACAGAGCTCTACTGGCTTCTCTCCTGAAAGTTGCTCTAACTGAAGAGTTATTCCACCTCCTCCTCGATTACGATGATCATTCTGGAAGGGGATGGAAAACAGCAGGATTTTGTATGGTTGAATGAGAAAACTGACATAAGGCAGTGTGTACCAGAGCTAATCTATAATTCATCATGATCATTCAAGGCTTTTAGAGAGCAGAGGAGAGAGAGGCAAAGGAGCCCTGACAAATGGTATAAAGACCCTGCACGTGGATGTAGCCAGCGAGGGCTGTCACTTCTGATGAGCATGGGCAGGCGGTGCGGGGCCACCAGGGAGAGCTGGGCTCCCGGTACCTGCTGCTGAGGAGGGGCTTGCATTTGCAGACGACTAGAAGCAACTCTGGTACTGACGTCTCATTATTTCCAGCTTGGTTGCTTGCTTTCCGGTCGCTGCTAATGTACCAGGCCCAAATTCCTTTGTGTGTTACTGCCTTGGGGGCCTCTGGCAGCTACTGCATCTGGGGGAGAATGTCCAGTAGAGTTGAGTGCTTAGTCTTGACTGGTTAAGACCATCAAGGCTAACCACTAACATCAGGGAGAGGAGAGTTCAGACCCCATTCTGCTGGGTACTGGCTTTCCGGTGCTGGTAAAGTCAGGGATATGGCTGGATTGTTGAGGCCTGCTGCCAAGTTATCAGTAAGAGAGGGATCAGACTGAAAACAGTGTTCCCAGCCACCTCAGGTAGCTGGCACTGCTACAGCCCTGCCCACTCTGGCTCTAGAGATGCTTGCAGAAGGCAGTGTCATGCCAGCTGAGAGCCCTGGGCCGGCATTTTGTTGTAACGCAGAAGGCCAGGTGGTTTGGGGATCAATCTCCTCCCAGGGGAGAGAGGGGCTGCTTCTCGGGTCTGTTGTTCTGGCTCCATAGGTGTGTTCCTAACCATGTCTGTCTTGTCAGTCCTGCACAGGCTCTCTGGACACATCCCCTTAAAGCAGATAAGGAAGAATGGCAGTTCCTCAGAAGAGAGGGCTTGTCTGGACACAGCAGGACTCTTGGCAGGAAGGCAGCTTCTCCGTTGTGCTGGGTATCGCATAGCTGTAGCTGCTCTCTTCCCTAATGAGGCGAACGCAGCCTGTGCCACTCCAGCAAGGGCCAGCAGAGCAAGGAGAGCTGTTGGCTCTCTGCTCAGCACTGGGGAGGTCACACCTGGAAACTGTCCAGTTTGGGCCTCCTGCTGCCATTCAAGAGGGATGTAGGGATGCTGAGGAGGGTCTGGCTGAGGCTTCTGCGCTCATCAGAGCTGGGGACAGAGGACCCAGGAGGAGACTGGGGAGCTGGAACAGCTTGGAGTGGTCAAGAGGTGGCTGGGGGCATATCTAATCATGGGTACAGCGATGTGAAGGGCAATTAGGAAGATGATGTGGTCAAACTCTTTTTGGCAGCCATGGCAGATGATGTAATAGGGGAACGTGGGAAGTTTGGCTTGGTTATTAGGAAAAAAAAGCTGGTGGGGAGGTGACTCCATCCATGGAGGTTTCAAGCATTGCCCAGACAAGACCAGGCTGCTCAGATCTCTTACTCATGTTGCAGGAGAGGGGTTGTGTCAGATCCCTTGTGGCCCCTTTTACCCATGTGCTTCTGTGGGTCTGAGCCCTGGTTCCTTCAGTGCTGCCCAGCTTGGTGGAAGAGCAGTTCTTCTTGCTTCTCGCTGGCTTGCTTTTTGCTGCTTTGGTTTGCAAGTGTGTGCAGTAGCCTCTGCGTTACCCAGCAGCCCAGAAAAAAGCAGCTGTGACTGAAAATCCATCAGTGCCTTTGTGGTTGGGACCCACATGTTAGACTCCCAGCCTCAAGGGTTGGACATGGTGCAGAGTGCAAGCACAGCAGGGGAAAAGGATGGTTAAGGCAGGAGCTTGTTCTTCCATTAAGTTAATTTTTTGACTATACCTGCACTTCTGGGCTTACATCCAAGGCCTGAAGTACTTGTGCGATTTCCTCCCGCCTCCATCAGTTAGGTTGTATTCTCCATTCCCTCCTGAGCTAGTTATTAATTATGGAGACTGCAGAGATGAAGTCCAGACTCTGCTAATGGTTGACTTGCCTGTGTTTTACAAGAAGCGTTTTGGGCATCTGATAATGGTATTTCTTAGCTTTGCTTTTTAAGCTCCACCATCATCTTGGTTTCTAGCCTGAGCATGGCAGTGAGGCAGATAACAGTGTAGGGCATGCATCTGCAGCACCCTGCTCATCTTCCTGGGTTGAAATGTCTCCCTGGTGCAGGCACTGCCTGGCCTGGGAATTGGATCTCAGCTGCAGACACAATCCCAGGGCAAACTTCAGGCTTTTAGGTACACTGTGCATGCTGTGTGCAGTTATCCCCATTCCTTCCCGGGGCGGTGGGACGGCCGATGCTCTAGCAGTGTGCTTTCCCCAGTGTGTACAGCATTTTCGTGCTGACAGGGAGCACAGAGCAGCCTTGCCTGGCAGCATTCAGGCAGTGCAGTGACCCTTGCTGGCTGACACCTCTCAATTTCCCCAAGCTTTGAGAATCTGGAGCAAATCCACGGTGAGTGCTGCACCCTCACCCTGGCTTCGGCTGTCCTCCCAAAGCCATCTCTTTGCTCTTCACTGCCGGCTTCCCTCCCAGCCTGTGTCTCAGCCTCTAAAGCTGCCTGGCCAGACTCAAGTGCTATCTCATCTTTCCTCTCCTAGTCGTCTTACTGCTTCCCCCCGCCTCTCCTGAGGAGGCCAATGGATGCTAGGCTTGCTCCTCCTCCCCATCCTGTCCGGGCTGTGGGTGCTGCTGGCCGGCTTTGGCGCCGGCTCTGTCTGCCCTTTACTCTCCCTGCCCCAGCTGGCCCGTCTTCATTCTCGCGGCAAGATCCCCTAGTCCCTGCCACTGCTGCTTGGCTGCCTGCCCCCCCCCCGTACAATCCTCTGGGAGATACGGCTCTCCTTCTCCTGTCTTGTTCCTGTTCCTCTGCTGCTCAGTTGTGTGTGTCTGATGTGGGGAGTTAGCACTGTGTTTTTCTCTGCAGACTCTGCTGACCTGTTCCCTGCCTTGTCCGTTGCTTTCAGCCTGCTGCCTGCTGGGATGCAGGGGTGGGTAGGAGGAAGCTGCTCGCATCCTGCATCCCTCCCCCCCTCCCCGAGTTTAGCCTTGGTGTTAGGGGGATGGGGAGAGAAAGGCTTGGGAAAGTGGAAACAATGAGAGTGCTACATTTTCCAGCTCTGCCAGTTCATACCCCCAGGGTTTACCCCTGGTATTGTATGCCAGCACTGGCCTGGCAGTCCCTGGTCCCGTTTTGCAATCTCCCAGTGTCAGCCAGCAGCTCGGGCCTTCCTGTAAGCGCCCTGGTGGTCACAGGGAAGGATTGTTCCCCTGGCCGCATGGGGAAAGGTCACTGCGGGCAAAGGGGACGCTGGGGCCGGGTGAGTGGCTTGCCTTTCCCACCCCTCACCAATGAGGGCAATGCCAGTCAGCATGGAGCCAAAAACATTTTGGCTTACAGGGGAAATTAAAAAAGAAAAAAGTTTCAAGATGTTAAATATTTTCGGCAAGGCCCTGCTTCCTTTTGCAGGGCAGATCTCAAAGCAGATGCTGTGCCCAAGCAGAGTCCCGGAGGATGTGTGCGTGTTTCATCGCTTTCGTAGCTGGAGGATGTTTGTTGTTGAATTCGCTCCCGAAAGCATCTGCGTCTCTTGCTGAAGCGGTGCCTGGGACAGTGGTGTCGGCCAGTTACCACCGCTCTGAATAGCAGTTGGGCTGAGCAATATGTTCGCGTTGCGCTCGCAGCTTGTCGCTCTCTTCCCTTCCTACCTCAGGCCTGCCAACAAAGCTCTCCCCTGAATGCAACTCGGAAAGAAAGCTGTGACTTGTGGAGGCTGGGGGTGGATTAGCGTCCAACATTAAGGGCTTAACTCCCCAGCTCATCCCTGCCAGCCGGGGGTTTCGAGTGACACCACCATACCTTTTTCTTCTGCTCTCAACAGTTTGCAGCCTGCTTTAATAATGTCATTTGCACGCTGTTCTCTGGGCTGTGTTTGCTAAGCTGAAGCTTGCTCCTGGTACTTTGTTTTCAGAGTCTGGCCTGTTGGCTGAGGCTCCTGGGGACGCTGGTCACATTTATCAGGGCGGGGGCGGAGCGGAAGAAGGAGGAGGAATTTCTAGGTTGGGCTTAGGAACAGAGTTTTTCAAAAATTCTCAGCATGTTAAAAAAAATAAAAAATCTGGCCATTCGTCTCTAGGTTACATTTGCCTCTGCTGTGGCTGAGCTCATGGAAAATCGCAGCTTAGCTCCTGTGCTCAGTGCCAAGATTAGTAGGTTTAAAAACTAACTGATAACATCTTTGTAAACTTGGAGACATTTCTGTAAATTCTGCTGATCCTTCCAGCCTGGATTTTGGAGCTTTCCTAGAGATCCAAGTGGGACGATAGTATCTGCCCTGAAAAATCACCCCATCCCTCAGGAGTGTTACCTGCAAATACCCAAAGGGAGGAAGGAGGCTGCTGTTCCCCAAGGCCCCAAAGGGTGTGTGTTGGGATCCTTCTCCCTGTTCCTAACCAGATACACAGCACATGACAACGCTTTGCATGTAACTTATAATAATCACTGGGTTTATTTTTAAAAAATTACAATAGAAAAGTACCTTTAAACATATTTCCAAAAGCGAGTAGACAATGTGGAAGCTTCTCTCCTCTCCACAAGACAAAGTACAGGAAATAGTTTGCTAAAAGAGTTAGTCTGTTGCTTGGAAACGCTGGTATCGTTCCTTTTAGAGCTGCTCAGAGGTTTGTCTTGGAATTGATTTCTTCTCACGTTGCCTTTATCAATCCCACTTTTTACAGAAGACTCTAATGGGACAGTTTCCCATCACACCATCTCACCCCCCACCCTGGCTTTGGCAGCCAAAATCTCAGCCATCTTATTTTGGCCCACCCGCAGAATAACAGGAAGGAGGAAGAAAAAGGTTATTATGGTTAACAAGGCCACGAGCACCCTGTGTCTTCAGTGCAGCTGGGAAACCAGTTATGGCGAAGCCTGGGCAACGGCTGAGCTGGGTCTACTCTGCAGCAGGGATGGGGGGGGGGGGGG